ACAGAATTTTTTCAGATGTAATCATCAGTATTAGTGGAAAGAGTATTTCTTCCCATTCCATCCAAACTGTAATTAAAAACTGGCTACAACATGCTGGAGATCGGATAAATCAAAATACAAAACGACATGAAAGAAGAAATAAAATATTTGAAAAAAAACTATAGATTTTTTTGTTTTATTTAGTTTTGGTAAATTATAAAAAAGTGGTATTGAAATATTCTATATATGCATTTTATTGTCATGATAACTTTATTTTTTACATATGCAATATAGTAATTACTTGAATAAATAATTAAGAAAAGTATTAAAAATAAAATTTTAATATTACTTTTATAACTTTTATTTTTATTATTTTTCTATGTAAGGATCATATATTATATGTTTTTTATTTTTGTATGTAAAACACATAAGGAAAAAAATTATTTTTTGTATTACTCAAATGTACCATACAACATAATTTCTGAAATGTTTCTATATGGATTCTACATTTATAATAAAAAAGTTATGTAATGTATTGTATATAACATTGTGTTCCTTTTCATATAATTAAATTCATAAAAATAGTGCTATAAACTAAAAATAATGCTATAACAATTCTTAATGTTAACATTTTCTTGATATTTAGGAGAAGTCAGATTTTAATATTCTTTTAGATGTCATTTATGTGATCTCTTTTTTTCCTCTAAAAGTGACGCATTAGAGGGCTTATTGATATCATTATGTTATCTTCAAGATGGTGTTGTTGGATGTCTAACTCTCAAACCTGAGTACTTGAAGAACTCTTTTTGATAACATAATGCTCACTGGGTAATTACAATTTTAGATCCTCGGTTTAAAAATATTAATTTTATCGATAATGTTGCCTGTTTACAGGCTATTAACAAAATTATTAAATTTATAAATTCTAGAGTTACAGATACTAATCTTAAATATCAAAATCAACCAAAATTAACAAAAAAATTCAGATAATAACGATAACGCAAACTTTTGGTCCTATCGTGAAAAACTTGTAAATTGTAATATATCTAAACAGATCGTTAATCAAGATCCTGACCAAATGCCAGAGGACTTTGGTTATTATCTGAATCAACCACCGATAAAAATGGACAATAGTGCCATCGAGTATTGGAGCATAGCTTGAAATTCGCATCTGAAAGACTTAGCAATTAAGCATCAATCATTGGGCTTGTTCGTTTTAGCTGCACTGGGTCTGCTTTAAACAAGATAATACAGGACAAACTATTTATCTGTCCTGTATTATCCTGTGTAGAGCAGACCCAGAGCAGCCCCAGTGTAGCTAAAACGAACAAGCCCATTGATTGCCACTTCAGTTCCTTCCGAAAGGCTATTTTCTAAAGCAGGTAAAATAATGACCAAAGAACGAAATAGGTTGACAAGTGATCACCTAAATCAGTTGTTATTTTTACATTTCCTCGATTTCAGCAATTGGAATTTATTAAATAAATAAGTATAAATATAAAATAAGTATATATTATTATTATGACTCATGTACAAAATAACGTCATTTATTTTACAAATAAAAAAATTTTATTTAAAATGTGTATTTTTTATTTAGAAAATAATGTCAGCGTAATTATGTTTAAAAAAAATTATTATAAATTAAAAAAATTATTATAAATGCGTGCCATTTACATAATTATATTCATATAATGTATATAACATACCTTTGATCCAATGGCTTTGTGTAATTCAAGTATCGATATTGATGATATCGATACGGGACATTCGATATATTTTGTGTATCGATATTTTCATCCACGATACGTATCGATATGATGTATCGATACTTTCAGGTTGTATCGCTCATCTCTAGAATGAACCTGCAATCACGATGCATCATCTGACTACATGCTACTCGCAGATGAGAGATGGCGCAACGATCTTTTCTGTTTCTCGTGTGACATTCCTATCATGGTTGCGCATTTATTACCAATGACAGAACATAAGTTTGTAACGGGCCACTCCTTTCGCTCGCAAATTTCCAAACGATGCGCGTACTTAATGTGTTTGACGGATTTTTTTAACTTTCTAATAAGTATATGATCGCGGTAATGCTCGTTGCATTCAGCACTCATTAATTCATAGATTCGAAGTTGGAAAGTCGCAATTTTAAGGTAAGCATCGATGACGCGATTCAAGGAATGTATGTTTGGGCGTTGACCGTTTGCACTTCTAACCCCGCGACAATTATTTCGCTTTCGGTACATCTTATTACATTATTATTAATGAGTTGAATGTACAATGACTAAAACTGTAATTTATTGATTTCTACGTAAAACTAATTAACAAATTACATATATTACTAATAGTGTCGATTGATACAGTGACAAATATATATCAAATTAAATCTAATTATGATATAGATATACAATTTTTAAAAGGACTATGAAACACAATTGATCGAAATCAAATAACGTCTTAATTGTTGCTATTGTATTGTAATACCTATATTGATTTTTATGCATATATTTGTGTTCTAATGTTTTACAATACATTTAAGATAGTGAAAAACATATTTTGAGTGTTTCTTGTGAAAAATAAATGAATGATAAATTATATTTCAGATAAAATGTTGATCTGGGTTTTTTTATTATTTCTGGTCTGTGGAGATGGCCAGTTTACTTCAGAAATAACGGAGTCGACTCCTAGACTTCCATGGAATCGTTACGATGATCAGGATCAGAATATAGGAGGTTTTGGATTTCGAAATCCAGGACAAAATGATAATGTTATAATTAAGGAATCGTTAGTATTAGTATTTTGAGAGCTTAATCAGAAAATTATAATTTCCCGATAAAACCATTGAAATGTTTGATGTAAAATACATTCTAATTTTGATAACATTTTTTATTTATTTGCAGCACGTACTTTATAGTTGCATCTCGCATGGTTCGACCAGGTCAGGTGTATCGAGTTGCTGTGAACATTCTACAGAGTTTGTTACCTATGACAGTGCGTACATCTATTCAACGCAATGGTGTGGAAATTGCAGCAGATTTTCAAGAAGTAAAAGAAGGCATACCGGAAACTTTAATGATGCGCATGCCATCGACTTCTGTGGGTGGTCACTATAAACTACGAATAGAGGGATTGTATAACAATCTTGAGGGTGGCCAAGCGTTCTTGAATGAGACTAATTTGATATTCTCGCAACGTTCCATGACTATTTTTATACAATTAGACAAACCTGTGTATATGCAGGGTGATACAGTGCGATTTAGAACGATCCCGATAGACACAGAATTGAAGGCTTACAACAACCCTGTGGATATATACATGTTGGATCCGAACAGAAGAATTATGAGAAGATGGCTCAGCAGACAAAGTAATCTAGGCACAGTATCGCTGTCGTATCAACTGTCCAACCAACCGCTTTTTGGAGAATGGATCGTGCAAGTAATAGCGCAGAATCAAGTGGAGGAGAAGAAATTCCTGGTGGAAGAGTATTATCAAACACGTTTTGAGGTTAATGTCACAATGCCAGCGTTTTTCTTTAACAACGATCCTTATATTTATGGCATCGTCCAGGCGAATTACACCTCGGGTGCACCGGTGAAGGGTAATCTGACTCTGAAAGCCATCTTCAAGCCGCTGGAAAGAGGATATAATCCTAACGTGGCGATCGAGCCGATAGAAAGATTTTTCGATTTCAACGAAATTTATCCATCGTGGTTTAAACCTCTCAACTGGTTCAGCAGAGAGCCGGTGCTGAGGTTCTTCAACGGAACTTATCACTTCCAATACTCTATGCACGAATTATTCAACTTTGCTCCGTCCATGGAGGCGATGGAGGTCACCGTGGTCGCAACGGTAGGTGAGAGATTTCTGGACGAAGTGGTCGTCGGCTATTCCACAGCGAGAATTTTCAACTCCACTACGAAGATTCGTTTCCTCGGTGGCAGTCCGCAGGTATTCAAGCCAGGAATGCCATTCACGCTAAATTTGGTCGCATCCTTCCACGACAACTCGCCGCTGCGACCCAGGCAGCTCCGAGACGCACTCCTGGAGATTCACGCGGAGGTTGATATGCGAGCTGGCGGACGTCGTAACATCGATATTCAGCGTCCGTTGCACTCACCGGAGCGCAAAGACGTGTGGACCGTAAAGATGGATCTCAGAAAACAGTTCAAATTGGAGAATAACGATATCGCAAATCAGGTGTTGAACGACGTCGCTTCTATGAAGCTCACCGCTTATTTTATCGATGGCGAGGGTCACAGGACGCAGACCGAACTGCTGTTGCTTGCTCACGAGTCTCCGAATATGAAACACATTAAGGTATCAACGTCCACGGAGAAGGCCAAGGTTGGCGAATACATGGTATTCCATGTGCAAACCAATTTCTATATTGAAACCTTTAACTACATTATCATGGCCAAGGGTATAATACTCCTGGCTGGAGAGGAACACATGCAGAACAGCATAAGAACCTTCGCGATACCTCTGAGTCCCGAGATGGCTCCAGTTGCAACGGCAGTAGTGTACTACGTTGGTCGTTACGGCGACGTCGTGGCGGACTCGCTGACGTTCCCGGTGAACGGCATCTCGCGTAACAATTTCACCGTGTTCATCAACAACATGAAGTCGAGAACGAACAAGCGCGTCGAGGTGGCCATTTATGGCGAGCCCGGTGCTTACGTCGCTCTGTCGGGCATCGATCGATCGTTCTACACAATGCAGGCGGGTAACGAGTTATCGTACGCAAACGTGATTACGAAGATGGCGCATTTCGATGAGGAGACCAACGGCACGCACTCGCACACTTGGCAGTATCACGACGGCGATCCGGATGAGATTGTGTACTTCCCGTCGTCGACCTTCGGCATCGACGTCAATCGCACGTTCGATTACATCGGCCTAGTCGTCTTCACAGACGCCGTGATACATCGACGGTCCGAACTCTGCAATCGCACACAGGGATACGGCGAGTGTCTAACCGGTCGGTGCTACCGGATGGAGAAAAGATGCGACGGTGTGTTCGACTGCGAGGACGGGACGGACGAGACGCGATGCACTGAACGAAATGCGACCGACATCGCGCAATTCCGCAAGTGGCGTTTCAACCGGATCCAGCGGCACTACGAGAACGTCTGGCTGTGGAAGGACATCAATATCGGCCCGCACGGTCGGCAGATCTTCAACATAGACGTGCCGCGAAGACCGGTCCACTGGATGGTCACTGCGTTCAGTGTGTCGCCCAGCATCGGCTTCGGCATGTTGCCGAGGGCGCTCGATTATACTGCGATTCTACCATTCTATATCAACGTGGAGATGCCGACTCACAGCAAGCAAGGCGAACAGATCGGCATTCGCGTGTCTGTCTTCAACTATATGCGCTACGACATTGAGGCAACAGTGGTGCTGACTGACTCCAAAGACTACAAATTCGTCCACGTCGAGGATAACGGCATCGTGCAATCGTATTCGCCGCGCACCTCCTTCGGCGAACACCAGTTCTTTATTTGGATCCGTTCCCAGGACGTTAGCATCGTTTATTTGCCTATTGTGCCAGTGAAACTCGGCGACATCAAGATCCACATCTACGCGAACACTCTCATCGGCAAAGACTCCGTGACGCGCATTCTGCACGTCGAGTCTGACGGGTTGCCGCAGCACCGGCACGAATCGCTCCTACTGGATCTCAGCACGCGTTCCTACGTGGTCCGGTACTTGCATGTAAACATCACTGAGACGCCGATCATACCGTACGACGAGAATCGTTACTACGTATTCGGATCCAACAAGGCAACTCTCAGCTTAGTTGGCGATGTGGTGGGACCGAACTTCCCGACGATGCCGGTGAACGCGACAAGTCTTATAAACCTGCCGATGGACTGCGCCGAGCAAAACATGTTCAGCTTTGCCGCGAACATGTACAACACTCTGTTTATGCGTCAGATCAATCAGCGTAATCGCACGCAAGAGAGGGAGAGTTTCTACTATATGAACATCGGCTATCAGCGGCAGTTGTCGTTCATGAACCCAGACGGATCCTTCAGCTTCTTCCGTACCGATTGGAACCAGTCGTCGCCGAGCGTTTGGTTGACGGCATTCTGCGCGCGAATTTTCCAAGAAGCCAGCTTCTACGAATGGGAAAACTATCTATACATCGATCCTGAGGTTATCGCACAGGCAGTTTCCTGGATATTGAAACATCAGACGCCGGAAGGCTCATTCTACGAGGTGACCTGGCTGCCGAATCGAAAGATGAACAGCTCGTTGAACTACGAATATGACACGGTCGCCAATCGAAACATTAGTCTCACCGCTCACGTACTCATCACGTTGGCGAGCGTTAAAGATCTCACCGGCGGCCTGGGTTCTGAGGTAGCTCTGAGCGCGGCCAGCGCTATCAAATGGCTGGAAAGAAACATGAGACTACTGGAGGAGCGCGGCAAGCCCTACGAAGTAGCGATAGTGGCGTATGCGCTCTTAGTAGCGAAAGCCTCAACTGCCGAGCAAGCCTTTAGCATTCTGCAGAAACACTTGCAGAAAGAGGGTGAATATTTATACTGGGGTAGAGAAAAGGTGGGGCTACCCCCGGAGAAAATCGAGAATCAGAAGCCTTTCCGGTTACCGCGTTTACCCTACAAGTACGACTCGGAAAACATAGAGGCAACCGCATATGGACTGCTCGTGTACGTCGCCCGGCAGGAAGTTGATACAGTGCCGATAGTGAAGTGGCTAAACGCGCAGAGATTAACGCATGGCGGATGGGCGACCACTCAGGATACCGTTTGGGCGATGACAGCGCTGATGGACCACACCGTGAAAACGAGGATCAGAGACGTCAGTGAGCTCGAAGTCACGATAGAAGCTACCTCTTTGCCGGAACAGAGAAAGAGACTGTTTGTAAACAACAAGAATCTAGCGAAGCTTCAAACTATTGAGGTACGTAATATATAATTTGATATATTCTTAGTGTTTTGATTGGATTGGATTTCACGATATGCTGCATATACATAATCCTTTAATTTAATTGTATGATTATCTTTTTAGATACCAGAAGCATGGGGAACAGTGAAAGTTCAGGCAAAAGGCGCGGGCTACGCCATTCTGCAGATGCATGTGCAGTATAATGTGGACGTAAAGAAATTCCAAACGCAGCCACCTGTACAAGCTTTCGATCTGTACACCAGAGCGAATTTCCACGGCAGAAATCAGTCTCATATCTCGTATCTTAGTTGTCAAAGGTGAGATCATTACAATTATTTCACTATTATCTTCACACCTGTGGAAATAAATGTTTTTTTTTTCCTCTCTCCCATAGATGGACGAATATCGAAGAATCTTCGCGTTCCGGTATGGCTGTGTTGGATGTAGCCATACCGACCGGCTACATAATTCAGCAGCAAAATCTGGATAAGTACATCTTGTCGAAACAAGTAAGGAATCTCCAGAGAGCGCGTTTCTTGGAGAGAAAAGTGCTCTTCTACTTCGATTATCTCGATAGCGAAGAGACGTGCGTAAACTTCACCGTGGAACGTTGGTATCCAGTCGCGAATATGTCGCGATATCTCCCCATTCGCGTTTACGATTACTATGCGCCAGGTACTTTAATTATATTAATTTTTACTATAAATACTATTATATTTAACATTGCTTATTTTCATTAATTCATATTATTCGATGCTTTCATTGCAGAACGATTCAACGAATCTATATTTGACGCACTGCCTACGTACACCTTAAATATATGCGAGGTTTGCGGTAGCTCGCAATGTCCCTACTGCCCAATTTACAATGCCGCCACGCTTTTAGCCACGCCGGCAGGTTTCCTGCTTATCGCGTCGCTTGTCGTCACGATAACAAGGTATTTCCGAACGCAACAATTCAACGACGGCTAACAGTAATATGCAAAGGTGAAAGTATTCGAACTTTTTCATTTTCATTGCCATTTTGCCTCTGCCAATGTAGCCCAAACATATGGAACGCTACGATGATCAAAACACAGTATATACATGTACATGTCCACGAGAATCTCATTTCTAAATATCTAAAGAATCTTTTTTTTATATAATCTTCCAAAAATGATATATATGTGTGGTTAGAAAACAATAACGTCGTAAAAACAAATTAAACTACACAAAATGATCATCATTACGAAATAATTATGACTATAAATTTATTTTTTTCATGAAAAATATTTTTAACTATTTTGATTATTTTTGTGCAATATTCGTGCTGATAATTTTTTCTTTTACTATACAATATATATTTCACACAATTAGAATCTCGCGTTACTTTTATTTATATAATTCGTTTTTACGAACTTTCATTTTACGTTAGTTAGACAATACTGTAAAAGATCATACCGTCAACAGTGAAGTAAGAACAATTAATGTTTTATTATCTGCCTGGAAAGGCTTGTATAATAGTGATAAAAGGTATAGTATATTTACTTCTGAATATAAAGCGCACAAAACTCATCACGTCATAATAAGACTGCGCGATCGAAAGTAATTGGTTTTGAGAGTATTAGCGTAATTTTGGACGTTTTACAACGTCCATGATTTGATTAGATTAATGATTATTAATTTTTATAAATGTATCATCCGTCCTGTTTTTTTATTCTTAGAATGCATGAAATTGTTTTTCTTTCTTTTACATAATTAGGGCATTGTACTCTTGGAGGCAAAGCATCTCAAGTACAAATCAGGTGTAATAGTCATAGCCAGCGATTTTCGTCAGCTATGCTATTAATTATTATTACCAAAATAATTACGGCAAAAGTGTTCGTAGCGATTAAAAGATCATACAGCAAGAAAGAGCATATAGTTTTTACATATTAGTTTTGAATTTTTAATCATTTAGCAATCGTAAATCGCTTCCTTTCGAAGCTGTTTAATAATTTTTAAAGGTAATTTTTTAAAAATATTTTTTATTATATTCGTGAATTTATTTTTTACATTTTTGTGCCTTCGTAGTGTTTAACATTCGTTATTTTGGAGCTAACTCCTGTTTTATATATTACTTTGAGCCTTGAATATGAAAAGCAATGAAACATACAAGACAAACAAGATGTTTTGCGAAACGTTAATGTGATCGGTAAAAATGTAAATATTAGAATAGGAGAATGCATAATTGTATTCCAGCTCGATTCAAAATCGAGCAAGTGACATTGATACCGTCCTGTTTATACATACTTGCGTGGATTTTATGCCGTCCCAATAATTAGTGCCTCAAGAGATATACGTTCACGTGTATAAATATGTATTTGTTTTAAACGAACATCAAAGATCTATTTTAATAACATATAGCACATAATAAATATGTATATGGCTTATCTTAAGCTATAACTAATATAAGCATAAGTTAATATAATCAGTCATGCGCCACTGGTGCTTTAAGGGTCTGTTTTTGGACTTGAAATTATAAAAATTTATACGGCAACTCTTCACATATCTTCTAAAATGATATTTATTACACATAATACAGATTCTACTAATAATGGACCCTTAAAATGCATTCGTGTGTTCAAATAGTATCGAAATACCGTCCACGAAGAAGTCTGCTTCACAATACGAATAATAAAGTACTTTAGCAACGAATCGTCGAAATCTTCGAGGTGATTCCATTCGAAGATTGTGCGATCTATCGCGCGATAAGCCTTCTTTTTTAAATATTAACGAAATCAACATTTAACACACGTTGGATATATATTTTTAAGTTTTGTAATCTTTATACAAATAAATAAACGATACAAATGTATTATTTCAGATGTAACTTAACATGCTTTTCCTTTTCCAATTTCCAACTCGGAATTTTATTTATCTATTTAAAGAAACGGCACGTAATTGAAGGATGCAGGAAGAAGAAGAGATGGAATGAAATTTTGTCACCCTGTTTTTGAAGCAATCTTTAATATAGCAACATAGTCAGTCTTACAATAATAAGCCAAAAATACAATCTATATCAAGCTTGACGGGGAGCGGGCAAAGGTTTCCTTCTTTCTCTCGTGGCATCTTCGGCGACGCTAATCGCGACTGAGAATCTCACAGCGGGGAAAAGCTCGGTGCTTTCACCCGAACCCCTCGAGAAATTTTACAATTTTACACATAATTATAATCAGTATCACGTTCGCGAAATTGTAGGTCCTGCTTTCTAACGACTGCGGCTACGCGTAACTAATAAGATGCATGTGCTCGGCTTCCTTTCTCTCTCTCTCTCTCTCTCTCTCTCTCTCTCTCTCTCTCTCTCTCTCTCTCTATCACGACAACGGAATGGTTATAGCCTTGAGACGAGCCCTTCGTCATTCAAATGGCAAAAATTCAAGTTCGAAAACGGACTCCTACGTCGCGTACCAATTTCTTTTTTTCTTTTTTTCGCAGCGACTGCTAACAATTTCCCTTATCATTCTCGACGATGGCAACGATTGGCTTTATACTACCAATCATTCTCAAACAACATTCGGTCGCTAATCGATTTTCGCGTACGCTTCCGGATTCAAAGCCCTCGCATTCAATTCCACGTACAACACTCGCACATCCCGAATTTATTATTCTGACGTTCGTGCCTCGGACCTAAATGAAATATCAGGACAGGAGGAAAACGATCGATACAAATATATAGATATATTATAATATAATAGTTATTTGATGAAACATTTAAAGCCTTACAATAAAATATACAATATGTGTGTCGTCGTATTCGTGTATGGGCACCGTGTGTCGTGTGTCGTATGTTACTTCGTGTTGGATTAAGTGTATCTTACGTGTTAAAAGATGTCTCAAAATATGCAGCCACATTTATCGCATGATTTTTGCATTTTCATTTTTTTTTGTCTTTTTTTCTTATTCAGATCGATACGTTTTCTTGATAAGATAGTATTATGTACTTTTGTGTGTGGACTGAGAGATTCGATACGGCAGTAATTCTTGGCGCATTCGCACGCTTCTCTCGCGATCGAGATTCGCGCGCGAGATATCGTCGACACATACCTTCCCCCTCGTCCGCGTCTTTTTTTTCTTTCACATTAGCAGTTTGTATAATATAGATATCGGTATACAGAGCTAGTATCAAATCCTAACGAAATCGGCTACACCAAAATTGTTCCAACGTTCCGGAGAGATATGCACATTTTGTTCTGCATCGGCCAGCTCCTCCACCGAGCCGCGTTCCATCGAGGATACGCCCCCGAAATCTTTTTGTTCTTTTATTTGACCTTCTCAAAACTCACACGAGAATCCTCAATCTAATCTTTCGTTTATATTACTATGAAACCTCGTTCAACAGATCGCCGTTAATAACGCATCGCTCACTATTATTCGCATAAAACAGTCGACTATCATGCCGTCGAAAAAAATATAACTCGAAGGTTCGAAAGTTCGAGAAAGAACCGCAATGCGGATTCAACGTAACTTATCGGACTGCAGTCACGCGTTCGGCATCGTAAAGCGACACAACTTTATTCACGCGATTCGTGTTTATAATTAAAAAATGAGGCCTTGCGTATTTCACTTTTAGACAGTCGTTTCTTCTCATTAAAAAAAGCGATATACTCTACGACACTAGTTCATTAAATTACTCTTCATGTACATATGTTGATGCAACGTCATTAAATATGTTTATAAAATTTCATTTAAACAATAAAGTTATACTCGGAGCTTTTAAAGTACATTATCAATTCGTACATGTGAATAAAAACGATGAGACATTGTACGAGCATACACGTCCGGTCTTTTCATTGAAACTGATTCGAAATCTCGCATAGAAATGATAATACGCCAACATTCGCTAAGATAATTCTCAAAGCACTTCTGTGCCGAGTAATGTCTCTAGGCTTGTCACAATCCCAAGCCATAAGTAATCAGTCTAATTAGATTTTCGCTTAATTAATTCATTCATGTTACATATCAGTTAATTCTTATATTCAGATTACATATCAAATTTGATTGTTATCCAAAATCTTTAGCGCACGCAATAAACATTAACAAATTCTTTATTCTTTATTCTTAAATAGTTTTGCATTGCGATTTGCCAAAACTCACTCGAAACTCACTATTTTCAAAAGCGTTCTCGTTGATATATCGTTGCAAAGATCAATGCACGTGATCTGTAAGTAGAGATCGAATTATCCCGATTTTTAGAAAAATACTGACTGCGATAAGATTTTAGGCAGTTACAATGAGATGCTTCAATTTTTTTTTTTTAATTTTTTGGTTTTTACGTAGGAAAAATGTCGAAATCTAAAATTTTACATAAGAACTATGAAGTATGAAAGAGTATGAAAAAAAGAGCATCCAAATTCCAGCGAAATGCCCCGTGTATATAATGCTAAATATTAGACTTTCATGGCTATCGTTAAAATTTAAAAGGATATTTCACCGTGACAATAACATCACGATGAATAATAAGATGGCGTAAAAACATCTTTAATACATAAAATTTACATACGAAAGTAATGCAGCTACGCATTTAGCTTTTATCCACGGAAACTCGATTTCAGCGTAATATGTTATTTCATCCCATTAAATTACAAATAGAGGTAATATTATATTAGTGTATGAGAATGTTAGTATATACCGTAGTAGCAGCGATAGTATTCGATACAAATAGACAGAGCCAAGTAAAAAGCTGTCGGACAACACAGCAATTATTAAACCTCTTATATTTCTGTTGTGTCTCTTTTATGAGCTCGATTGATTTGATAAGTACGGAAAGGCTGATACATCCATTTCCTACGATGATAATAGCGATAATAAAAAGAAAAAAAAAAGAAAAAATCGAGCTGCCTAATGACCACCTGGTATCCAACAGTTCTTCACTCAACTCTTCGCAAAATTAACCATTTGGTCGGTGTGAAAAAATAAACATAACGTTCTTATATTCTGTAAACTACAGTGGACCGCATCAAGATTGTTATTTTTATTTGGTTGCTTCCTTCGTCCTTATGCAATATGCTGGTTGAGTCTCCTCGACGCAAATGGAGAGGAGAACAGACACATGCAGATGACAAACGGTGACAGAAGAGAGGGACGTCCCGTTGGGACGTGAAAGAAAAATAATGTGTGAGTACCTTACAGTGCTAAATTGAAAATTTCGGAATTAATATTCATATCTCACAGGCAATCGCCTCGGAGATAAGCAATGAGTCGCCTTCCCCCCCCCCTCCCGTTATATTATTAGATTGTACGATATGAATTATATAGTTTTCCCGTTATGGATCATCTGCATGTAAATTCTGCGTGATATTGTTCGTGGATTATACAAGTTGAATTCAAATTCTCGTTCTCTTGGGCAATAGCGATGGATCTCTCTCAGTAATAGTAATATTTCCCGGGAATTCTTGATGTTTGTGGATATTAATTTCTTGTCTTATAGGATTAGTTGCTACTGCTAATTCAGCTAGATTCCTTTTCTTTCGAATCTGAAACAAGGAAGACAAACAAGTCGTTAAATAACGTGACCAGGGTTATCGCGTTCCCAAATTCTACACCCGCGCTATTTCCTTACCGCTATCAGATTTGTCCTCGGAGGTACCGTTTGTCAATTCAGACTCCTTCTTCTTCTCCCCCTCCTCCGATTCTACGCTAGACGCCTTCTTCTCCTCCTGATTCGCGGCTTTCTTGTCTTTCGCTTTGCCCTTAGCCGGCGTGGCTGGTTTGGGCTTCGGCTCCAGACTCGGATCCAGCACGATCTTACCGATGTTCTTGCGATCGTGCATTTTTTGCATGGCCTCGGGCACATCCTCCAGCGCCCATGTTGAGTCCACTACCGGCTTGATCTTGCCCTCGTTCCACAGCGTGTATACTTGATTCACCGCTCGTCGGACGAACGCGTGGCTGCCGTGTTGGTACATCAAGTGGCGTAGATTCAATCCGGACAATGTCTTGTTCTCGTCAAACAGCTTTATGGGCGACACTTTGTCGACTTGCCACCACTAAACGACAAACAATAACACGTATGCATGTTACGATAACAGGAACATAATACTAGAGAAAGATACATTAAGGAAAGTTTTTAAAAAGTCAAATTTTTGGAAAATTAAATATTCGCGAAAAAATATCCAAGTTTGTAAAATTTTACAACAAAACGTTCAAAATCACAAATATATTTTTTTGCAAAATATTTTTTTCTTCAAATAGACTGTAATGGTACATTTGAAAATCAAATTAATTTGTAATTCGTAATTAATGTCATTACGTACTGATCGCGCAGCGGAGAAGAAGCTCTTAGTTTCCCCAGTGACAACGTTGCTGGATCCATAAAGAATGTATTTGCCCATCGGCTTTAAAAGGGCGTAGCCCTTGTTACATTCTTCGCCGCACAAGCAATCCAGGACAATGTCTACGCCTTCTGGGGAAATCCTAAACAATAAAAAATGTGTGAAAAACGTGCAGAATTCTCTTTAGACTCGCTGATATCAAATTAACTATATCTCAATATACCAAGGTATATTATCAAGCATATAATATGCGCGGTGTCGTTTACGTACTTTCTGACTTCACTGCTATAGTCCGCGCCACGTTCCAGAAGATGGTCGATAGTTCCGGCGTTTTTGAGGGCTTCGTGTTTGGACTTGCTGCAGACACCGAAGATGGTCACGTCCTTCACAGTTTTCGCGAGCTGAACCACCGCTTGACCCTAAATTGGAAGAAAAAATAAAATATTTTTCACCGCTGCGATCGATATAAATTTTTAACAAAAATCGAGAGCCATACGAATATATTATATATTAAAGACAAAGTAAAAATACGCTCAATTGCTACTGGTAGCAACGCAATTGCCCTTTTTTCTCCTCTTCCTTCTCGCAAAGCGAGGCACTTTTTGTCGAGAATATCCAGCTACGCGTCGAATACACTCGTCGTATTTGGATGCGTGCTCCATAACGCTATGCTCTGAGAAAGGATGAGACGGGATTAAGAGAGAAGGAAGAAAAAGAACGGCTGCGTGGCACAGCCGCCCGAGATTTTCAACAGAAGCGGCATACATTATTTCCGAGAATCGCACTCGTTGCTTTCCATTTCTCTCCGCCCCTTGTCGAGAATTCGATACTCGGCGACCGATGCCGGCCGGCCCAGAGCGCTCCGGGCTTGAAGAAGAGTATAAATGAGAAAAAAATGAGCAGCAAGAGACAGGGAAGCAGAAGGAGAGAGAAAGAAATAAAAACTGAACAGGCGATCCGGAATCCTTAAGTAACCGCAACAAATTGTACGCATCACGAGAGAGAAAGAGAGAGAGAGAGAGAGAGAGAGAGAGAGATGCGTGTGAAAATTATGCGCAGACGAGGAATATGTTTCAACTTTTTTATAATTATATCACGCTTCCAGAATCCTCCAAAATTCCAAAATCTCCATAGTATTCGTCATTATCATATTCATTGATCTAAAATAACTATTATAATCTTTTCAATTATTCTAAAATTATTATGAAAAAGTTTTATATATGAAACCTTTATAAAATACTTTATAGAAATTCGCTATCTTCACTAATGACGCATCACGAACCGTAGAGCGAAAATTTTTTCTCACGAAGACAATGACTAATTAACATTAACCGATCCGCAACTTGAAGGACAATGTCGCCTATCGTCCTTCACTCAATTACCCCCTCCCTCCCCCCCCCTCTCTCTCTCTTTCTCTCTTTCGCCTGTTCGACATTAAGGATAAAAGCGATGTACATATCATAGAAGTGATAATTCATATCGCGCGACAACAATGGGTTATGCGCGACTGAGAAAAACGCGACCGCGCGTTAGAAAAACGAGCACTTTTGCGCGCGATTCCCTGCGCATTAAACCGGTCACGTAAAGAAAAGCTCTGGCGAGAAGAGAGCACTCGACTCGCGAAAGATACCACTTTCTGATCACGTCGGAGGACTTTCCCTCTCTCCTGAATCTCTCAGACAGATCGCGTCATATCTCTTTCTCTCTGCCGTCTTTTTGACCTTCTTCACGAACGGCGTCGGAGTACGCTCGGTATTCGAAAGAGCTTTTACACATCCCTGACAGTCGAGACGAATACATCGAACACACCGTGTGAATGCAAGTGTCAGCAAAAGTGTTCACCGTACATTCGTAAGAATATTCTTTCATAAAAGTAGTCTCTCACTCGATATTATTCCTAATATAAATAAACAAGGGCTTTTTAACGATCGGTTTCAATGACTTTAACATTAGAAAAAACGGAGGAGTCTCTTAAACCTTGTTTTGCTCCAAGATTAGCATGTTTCTTAACACCAGTGGAATATTTTAATTTTATTATAAACGCAATAATGTTTATCATGGATACATAATTCTGATTGTACTAATATCGCAAAGGTAAGGTTGTTTAAGAATCAATTTTGAAGAAGACGCATAAAGCTCCGTCTTTCCAGTATTAATCCTCGTTCAATTAATCCTTTGTCTTCTCCACAACTATAATTAGAGACGACATATCAATTAAATTTCGTGGACCATTAATCTTGATATAATAACATCTCAACAAGAAATTATAGCCGGCTTGAGTGACACATGAGACTATACACGATCCGGGCCCTTTAATGAAATTTTCTGCATTTATTTTATTTCGTCTGTTTCTATTCTGAAGTATAGACAATGTAACAAAGTGAGACAAAACAGAGCGGAGCAAAACTCGTCGCGAAACTAGCTCGAGATGTAAAGTTTCTCTTCTTGCATCATGTATATAAATAAATGTTGTAAAAAAGCTAAGACGCGTAGGGAAAGGACTCTAATGTGATAATATGTTCTTTTGACAACGCGGATCCCGACACTATAATAAAAGAGGCAATTTATTATAATTGTGTATGTAAGAAATATATCTTTCCCTAAGTACATCTCTCGCGCTTGGACTTTAAGTAGCTCCCCTCTGGCACAATTACATCCAATTATCCAACAGAATGTGGCGCGGGAACATCTTCGAGAAGCATTCGGAATAGAGCCCCGCTCGTTGCGGAAGTCGGCTTTAATTAAGCGCTTCCATAAAACATCGTGGCCGTAACGAGGCGTCTACCGATCCAGATAGTCGGTCGTACACGTGGCACGCCGTGCCACGACAACGGTGTGAAGGAAGCTTAACGCCGCGCCACGTGGTGGTAACGTGTCGGTGACGATGGTGGTGGTAACGTGTCGGTGATGATGGTGGTGGTGATGGTGGCGGCGGCGGCGGCGGCGACGGTGGTGGTATGGTCTCAGACGGGCGCGGTCCATGACGGTGGTCGATGAGAGAGCGAAAGGTTGCCAGGCAACCCTCACACCCCATACGATCCGCACACTGGCATCCCCCGTAGATTTCGCCTTTCGTCTCAACCGTTTGGGGGAGGGGGGGGCAGGAAGCGGCTGGCGGGGGGTAGTTTGCCACCAGTAGTTGGCTTCGGATGTAACCTGTTGAGCCGTATTGATCCCGACGTTTCTGTCTTCTTCTTCTTCTTCTTCTTCTTCGTCTGTTTCTCCTTTTCGTTCACCGTCGGCTGGTCGAGATAGAAACCACCCCGCGTGGCCAAAGAACCCGGAAATATTTCTTTGGTACTTTAACCTTCTCGACCACCCCTTTTGCCATCGGTTCGTGCGATCACCGCGCGAGGATATTTAACAGTCTCAAACTGCGGACGTAGAACTTAAATTGATCTTCAAATCGAATAAACAGACGAGTCTGGAAAATTTGATTTCGCCTCAACTCGCCTGGAAAACTTTCGCGAGGTGATTTCATTTTTCCGCAACTCGGATGAGTTGCATTGAAATTTTATATTTCAATTGTAGTATAAAATTGATTAGCCTTTTGCAATTCTTTACGACGAACTGTCCGATATTTACCGATATATGTCATAAAAGTTAAATTCCCGTTATTCTTGTGGTAAAATGTAACGGATTTAAGGAAAAACGATGTATGTGCCGCGCGTCTTTCGGGGATAAAGATGCGCGCGGTTTTCCATAAAACGGTTCTGGCGAACTATAAGCAATAACGTTAATGCTTCCCGGCGATTTTAGAACCCGGTAGTGGATAATACTGCCGCTTATATCGGTATTCGTAGTGTTCCAAGTAACATATACACGCGTCGAAGACGTCAGCCATTCGCATTTACGAGCGGAATGTCTTTGCGCGAGACATTAACTCGTTTATACACATGGTACTGCGGTGAAGCTGTCCAAACTCGCAAGAGTGCCTCTTCGCGGAACACGTTATTAAACACTTTTGTGCGCTAAGGGCTCTCATCGTTCTGTTCACGTAATGTCACTTTGATGATAAACCGCTGTAGAATTAAAAAATGTTATCGCGCCGAGCATTGTGCCATAAAATTTAATACAATCGCGCGCACAACAAATATTAATTGACACAAATTGACACAGTAAATATAATATCGTGCATTCAACGTGAGGAAAAAAACAGCTGTTAATACACGTTGTCAAAACACTCGGTTTATCATGCATGACTGAACACAATAATGACAACATCCTTAACACTGAAAGTACCGAGCGCGAGGGGTTATTTGATCCTTTCCAATTTTCTTTAATTTTTGCACTCTTTAGTACAAATATATAAATATAAAGCGGAACAAGCGGAATCTTTATGACAACAGTTACAATTGAAAAGATATGATTAAAAAAAGGCATAATAGCAATATCTTTAGTATTGAAACTCATCGAGGCACTATTATAATAAAGAAGAAGAATGTAATTAAAAACAAGCCATGACCGAACCGCGTATAATCGAACATAACAATTACGATACATCCATAAATACCTACATCGAGGCCCTCGCGATAAAGAAGAAGACGAGAGAAGAGGCCAATGTAATTAAAAAGGCCAATGCATCATCCCCGCCGTATCTTTCCAGAGAGCGACTCTCCTCTCCGCGACGGAAATACACAAATATAAAAGAGAAATTCGTCGAACTTACCACACCACCGCCAGCGCTGTGAAGCAGCAGGCTCTTGCCGGGTGTGAGATGGGCCAGCTCGAACAGCAGAATGTAAGCGACGGTGTAGTTCATGGTGATGGCGGCCGCGTCGAGATAGCTCATCCCGGGCGGTAGCGCGAAAACGGACGTCGCCGGCACGGCGACGAGCTCCGCCCACGCTTTGTGATCAGGAAGGGCGACCACCCTATCGCCCACCTGTTAAAAAAGCCATCGTTCAATCAAAACAGCAATTTACGCTGCGCTACAAATCATTTTCAATTTAATACCGGAACATCCACGAGAGGTCGTTGACTGTTGCAATATTTTCCGCGCTGCATACGCGAGATGTTATCGATATTATATGTAATCTTTTGATTTTTACGAGTTTTGAGTGTTAGCCCATCTATATATATCGTTCTATTTTTTTTTATCGACAAGTCAAAATGCAAGTTCCCAAAGCGTGTTTCGACGATCGAAACTAAAAAGGAACAGAATGTCTTTGTGTACTGCCTTATAGTTTGATAAATAAAGTACTTTTACTTTCACGAAATATGTTTGTTTACGAGCTTCACGTGTATTATCGAATCATCGAATAAAATGGTTCAGTGATTTTGCTCTTCGTCCCCTCTTTCAAAGACGACGAGGCGTCTGATCGAATTAGGGTTCTCACCATAAACGCATTCGTCTTGGTAGGCAGGAGCAAGCTGCCATTACTTCCGACCCGTGCGTTCGAAGAGAGAACACACACACACACACACGCGCGCACACACACACACACACACACACACGCACACACACACACACACACTCTCTCTCTCTCTCTCTCTCTCTCTCTCTCTCTCTCTCTCTCTCTCTCTCTCACTGGCAAGACAAGATCGCCGGTTTTACACGTGCTGGCCGGATATCTGACCCCAAGCGCGCTCCGAGAGTTCGCCCGCCTGCCTCCTTCTGACCTCGAAAAGACTTTCGCGAGTCGCGAAAATAGATCACCCTAAGCGTGCAAACTCCTTTACGGCCGGCGGGGCGCCAGCTGGCGAAAAACACGCCGCAAGGAAATTCCACGGACCTACATCAGGAGCCACAATTCTCGAACGTAATACGAAAATATGATAACGAGAGTATGTTGCCTCGGGTGTACAGCCTCGTGGCGCTTTATCACGTAACAGTATGAAAACTTTGCTCTGACGTAAAGGAATAATTTAGTAAACAGAAACAACCTCGGTGAGGAAGAAGGTACCCTCTGATTTTATTTACGGCGCTATTCCAGCCGCGAGCACGCATTTCAAGTGCTTTCGAAATAATTTGAGTCGCGCGTGACGTCAAACTAAAAATCGATATAGGATCACTATTTTAATAGGCAAAAGGCAGCCCGAGTGAATTGGATTTGCTAGCTTCTAGTTGCCATCAAGCCCACACGGTAAATTTCACTCGATTTAAATGAAGGGAGCTTGCGCCTTATAATCTAATCTAATTACGCGCATTTCCGTTTGCGAACTAAATTCTCAACACGCTTTATTTTTGCTCGTGCCTAATAACGTTCGACATTATTTATTGAGCAACCGTTAATCGAATTCTAATGAAAAGAATAGAAGATGAATAATAAGCGACAGTTCATACAGCGCAGTCGTAAATACGCGATACGTTTCATAATAGAATTCTCGATACACATAAGACATATTTACAATTTAAGTTTGGGGAAGCCAACTTATTTACAATTTAAGTTTGTTTATCCGTGTAATCAGATTCATTAAAAGTTCCATACTTATACTCACTTTGAAGTTTTCGACTCCCTCGCCGACTTGTTCGATGTCACCCGCGCACTCCGAACCCATGATGAACGGAGTTTTCGGCGGCGAGTCGATCGCGCCTTGCCTGGCCATCAAATCTTGGAAGTTTAATCCGCTGTAAGAGACGAGAGAACCTTTGTTGAGTGATATGTAACGTTAATCGCGATATTTAACACTACGGAAACGGAGCTTTCCGGAGTATATTGCTCGAAATATATCATCAATTTGTTCTGAACTTTGACGTTTATTCGTGTCATTAACTGCCATTAGCAATAGAGCAATAATAGCCATTATTAATCATCATTAACATAACGCAGGAACGTGACGTAGTATTCTAGAAAATTACTATCCCGATCTCGCCGTCGCGACCGAGGATTTCGAATCTTAATTTTATGGACGGACGGACGTGCTCGTTTTCGATGAAACGCGTAGCCGTCCATACTGTAATATAACCTCGGGAAAAATTTCTTTATGCAATTATAAAATTCTACGCGGTTTTACGCGTATCCGCATCGCGCCCGTACACACGTGCATGCGCTCAGCGGTGCTTACGTGGAGGAAAGAAGGGGCAGTAATAGAATGCTTCACATGGCAACGAGTTTACTCTCGGCTTGCACAAATACACAAGCAAAGAGTATAGTTGCCTTATCCCTACCGGCCTAACTGACAGGAGGGTACGAAAGCGAAGGCGCCACGACGCCTAGACCGATGCCTGGCGTCGCACGCAACGCGCGACGGCACCTCCACACGGCCGTGGCGTCGCGATGCTACTCATCGACATCGAGGAATATTTACTATCGCGCTTTCGACGAAAAAGTTCGTAGCATTTCGTGCCTTTCGGGGCTGGTAATCGCTGACGAATTTCGTCGAACTCGGCAATTTTCGTGTCAATATATTATTCGGTTCTTTTTTGTATATCGTGCAGCAAAAAATCTAATAGACTCGGTAAGGTATTGGAAATTCGAAAATCGAAAGACGAAAATCTAATAATAATCTAATCTAATAAAATGACTCACCAAATGTACAATGTAGAAAAAAATTTAATGAGTTTTATACAAGTTCAATAAAATATACAAAACAAGTAAATTTAATAAATTCAGTAAAACACATAGTAAAAGGATGTAAACTTGCTAGTTACAGTCGCGTTTAGCGTTTATTTGTTAACAAGCTGCCGGTACCGCTGCACTATGGGTGCCTGCGAGATATGTTGTAAATATTGTTATCGACTCTCGTGATACACCACGTAACTTCCTGGGGCACCGAGCACCGCCTGACGAATCACGCGCAAACTCGATGAAATTTTGCTCAAGGTTAGCGAACATATCTCGCGAATGCCCACACGGGCGTTTATCGCGGCAAATTTTTCATCTCATTTCATGTCGGCTAAATGCTTCTTTCTCTCTCTATTAAATGCATGTTGAATCCAATTAATTATTAAAAAAAAATTATTACTAATGTAATAATCTTTCTAGTAACAATTAAAGAATTAACTTTAGAATGAAGAATTTATATTTATAGTTAACAGACTGTTAATTCTATTCAAGCAAAGGGGAATAATCGCCTCAGCTCGTCAAAGTGTGATATGCTGCAACTGCTGCATATAAGATAGCTCGCGTTCTACCGATAACATAATGAAGGAAGTTGCGGCCAAGAGAACGATACACCGGAGAGTAGAACTTGGTCACGAGATTTACGTAACAACGATCCTACCGTATCGCTGCTTGTTGCGAACCATCAAACTCCTTACGGGATTCTCATTAAACTAACAATATAAGATTAAATTATTTCGCTCTCCACGATACGATCGAGTAACCGATTCGACAGCTCTCGAAATGCCGAAGCGCATAAATAATTGACGATTGTAACAATTCGCAGATACAATAACGAGTTTACAAAAGCATTGAGCATGGTTATCGATACGCGATATATCGCGCCGATCGCGTACGAAACGCGCGCATTTATCCGTCCATTTATCCAATATAACACATATAACGCACGCCGGGCGGGGCGTAATATGCGGAAAATCGCGCGACTTACGCATCATTTACCGGAGCGCGTACACTCGCGTTTCCCACCGAAGGACGATTGAATTTCGAGCGAAAAGTAGAAATGCAGCACAATGTGATTCTATTCCTCGGCTTATTGGCAGGTATAAGCGTCCGGCAATGCCAATCGCGGCGCGTCGGATTAAGCCGATTCCATTAAATCCCTCCTGACGCGGAATATTCGCGCGTCTGTTACGCGCCTGCAAACTTATCCGTATATTCGCGTTCTCGCGCAGGGCGTGGCGAAAAAAATTCGCCGAGTTAAAATTAGCGAGATTTTATATAGCCGTAAAAAAACTGGCGCGCTGAAAGAAGGGTCGTCGCAATTAATGTTACCAGCTGTTTCTCTGCATTAAAGCGTAGCGATATAAAACATAATTTCTTCCCTCCGCACATCTCACTGCGTTTTAACGTTTGACTTTGATGAGCGCGATCTAATGTGACTGCGGCACGTAACACGGCGTGTCGTAAATAATAGTTCACGATAGTGTTGAATTATCCAAATCGAAAAACAGAGAGAATGAGAGTTCGAAAAGAGAAACAAGTTCGAAACGAAAGGACAATTGAGATTTCACAATGAAATACTTATTAATATTAATATTATATCAATTATCATTGTTCGCATATTGTTCTATAAAAATTCCAGAATGCCTTGTTTCGGAATATTCTGTACTTGTATTTGGTTTAGGGTATTCAATTGTACGTAACAAGCAAGTGTCCGACAGAGCGGTTTTAAGCATCGTCGTGACCGCGCAACTGATTCTATCAATCGTTAATACAAACTCGTTGAGCACAAATGCGACAGTTAAACGTAATAGAGTGCGGACGCGACTGTGGTCGAAAACAAATTCCGTTCCACAAAGATAAAACGGCAGTATCGAACGGCAGTCTGATATAGCGTAATGAAATTCTGGTCGCGCGGCGCGGCGCGGCGCGTCGCAATCCCGTCGTTTGGCATTGTCGTCGCAGCTAGCCGTAGATGATGCGCGTGATTTAGGACCGATCGCGTCACGCGAGACGCATCCATTCACCGAGTAAGACATTGCATTACTGTCCATTTACTTTCATAATTTGTCGTACTTAGGGTCGTTTCCGCTCCTTCCGCTCGCCCGGCTGCACGAGTGCGATCGCACCGAGAGAAAAACGGTTCGTTCCGGCCGCCAACGGAACATTTGCGTCGTTAACATCATCGTCATTAACTCTTTCGTGGTATCCAACATGTGTAATACACAACTCCGTGGTTATAATACGTGAATAAATTTATAAATACTCGCAATGAATAATTTGTCGTTGTACAATCTTCAAGCTTTAAAAATAAAGAATTAAAGCTGTAAAATTTGCTCTCTGCGAAATGGCACGCGTGATAATGTAACAATGAATGCTAATCGAATTCATTTCGAGAGAAAGAAATCGAATATGTAGATATATGTAATAAAATAAATGAGAAACAATTGTTAGAAAACTGATCAAAATTTTAAATTAAATTCAGTTTAACAATATCCTCAGTATTTGTCCAGTCAAGTCATCAAAGTCATAATTGCGAGGACAATGTTGTTCGCGAAAGACTAGATTGGGTGGCACGAATGTAAATAATGATTCGGACTTTAGACTAATTTCAGTAGAATCAAACTAAAGAAGTCGAGTAACGTGAGTCTCCTGTTTCCTCGATATAGCCAACGATTCTTACCTGACAAATTTCGCCGTGGGAACCAGAGTCACCACGTTCCCATTGAAGGGTCTGAAAAGGGACACGGGTGCAAGGACAAGGGAAAAGGCTCAGAAGTTACGAAGCGAAGAAGTGACGGCTTTCGCGGACTACGATCGCTTAATTCCTTTAAATTGCGTCGAATTGAGGGGAATAATTTTCTCCATTCTTGGCAAGAGAGGCAATTGAACGGACGGACTGGACTCGACGACGACATGCAACGCACCCCAGGGTCACACAAAGCCGCGCAAACTCGACGCAAGACACGCACAGTATACAGGGTGTCTCCGATCGACCGTTCGAAAAAAAAAAAAACACTCAAGTTGATAAATTCTCTTTGATATCGAACAAACATACGAAAGCATTGTCACGACACTTTTAATAGATAATTTTTTCCAAACACGCTCTAAACTCGTATAAAATATTTTTCATGTAAATTCTAAAATAATTTTGTTTTTCGGGTACAAGAGATATCTGTAGACCAAATTTCAAAGTTGCTGTTAATTTAAAAATTGTTATAAATTCAAAATTGTATTTTATCAATATTCGAGGAGGTAAATTTATTATTTTCTGAAGAAAAAATACGAAATAAAAGTCAAGAAAACAAAATAGGTAGATATTAAGCAGCTGGTTATTACACGATCCTAAGATTATTTCTCAGGTCTGAAAAATTCAGCCGCGACCATTTCCAGATTAAAGGATAGCGCTGTTGATCGGAAACACCTTGTATTGCAGACGTTTAAGGTACGAGGGCTAGACGCAGTCGTGCGTCGCCCTTTAACCGCACGCTTCCACCACCGTCGAACGCTTTGCTCGTGTGTTATCCGTAGATACACACGTCAATCGATCCTCGGAGAAGACATCGAGGCGCCATACAGAACCTATAGCTGTACATGGCCGAAATCAAATGCACGAATCTCGCGTGACTCCCGTGATCGGCGAGCGTTTGAGCGAGTGAAAGTGCACCCAAACCGCCGCTGCGGTATTTTCCATGCGCGCGTGTCGGAAAAAACAACATATACGTAACACCCTGCATACATACGTACAAACCGAACGGTATGCGCGCCGCGGGCATTACGCTGATATCGGCGTCAGTAACGTTAGCTTATCGCAAAATGGTGCACAAATTTCCACGTCGTATTTTGTTCTCTCTCGCATCGAAACGCAGTTATACTAAATGTATTTCGTTGCGTAACACGGAAGAAAGAACGAGCTGAGCTCAAGCTAATCAAGAGAGGAGTCACTTTTTACTTTTCAAAATAAATTAATGAAAAATTACTGGATTTTATTTTTATTAAGAAAATGCATAAACTTCTGTCTTTTTTTTTAGTATTGCCAAACGAGTATAAATTATATAGAAAATAA